ATATAATTTAATATAATATTTAAATATAATTACATAACATATAAATAAAATTAATTATTAGATACGAAATAATTAAGAAAAATGATAAAAGTGCAATAAAATTCTATTACAATCGAATAAATATTAACTTTAAAAATTTTATTATTTTCTGACTTCTTTTTTAATATTAATAATATTATTTATAATCTATATCTAGATTTATAAAAAAGTTCAGTTATATTTTCGATCATTTCAAAAATTAATTTATCAAATTCCATAAGCGCAACATTCGAATTTTATATTTTTTTTAATTTTCATAAGTAAAGAACATATCTATGTTTATTATTTAAATAGAAACTTGTTTAAAATTCGATAATTTTAAAAACGAATTATTTACAATACCGTTATTTTAATTTTTTCTTCTTTCTTTGTGAGACTGTAATAATCATATGTTCGTTAAATTTTTCCGTACGCATTACACACTTTGACAATAATACTAAATCTAGCTTGTCCCAGTTATGTCTCAACCTCGTTCATTATAAAGTGTTTATTAATTAAGTGCTCTTTAATTGCTGCACACAAAGGATGTACATGTATCTCATATGAACAAATGCATCCTATGGATGTGTCACACAGCATTCTGTGAAATTTACGCATATTTCATATTACAATTGCGCGTCTTCCGATATTCATTAATAATTTATCGGAATTAAAAAATATTCCAACATTCTAGAAACATTTATTGCAACGTTTTACGAAACATCTAAAAAACATCTACATAAAAAAATATAACTATGAATGATATCGTGCCATTTATCATTAATTGACAAAAAAAATATGATATAATGATATATTGATGATATATTGACAAAATATTCAGTAATTATGTATTACAGATTATGTAATCGATTGAAATTGATTATTGAGCTATCAATAACGCTATTGATCTTATCTTTTTATCTTATCTATGTGTATCTTATAATGTGTATGCAATGTCAAAATTGAATGATCGAACTTACCGGTATAGTGAGTTTACTGTGCAACATCTTTGATATCGAGATCTCACCATCCACTTTGATCGGACCCCATGGCTTCACGTCTTGTGTGTCAATGTATTCGCAATCGATATATACTACCAGCCTATCTTTGAAGACTCCAATATCAATTTTGTGCCAATTCTTATCGAATATCTGTTCCAATCAAACTTTATGCCAATTTTGCACCAAGAAAAATATAAAACTTACAATAACAATATATGTTAATCTAGAGATTCAATCTAATTTAATTATTTTCTTAAGAACGAAAGAATTTAATAAATTTCTCTCCAATTTAATAAAATATTCTCCAAAGCATCTTTGAAAACATATTTAAGTATTTACTACTACAAATATAACATCTTTGAAAAAGGATCATTTTTTAAATTACTCATATTTTATTAATAAATATATTGTTGTTCCTTAATATATTTTTATTTGTTTAAAAATGATAATTGAAATATAAATGAAAATCATTTTATCTTTCAAAATAGAACAAAATTCGATCAAACTTTATTCTAGGATTGAAAATAGTTAATCAGTTTTATTTAAAACATTTCTCGGACAAGAAAATGTAGTAAGCAGACAATTCTCTTTTGTTATTTGTTCAATGAATTGTTAATTTTCGTTATTCGTTAAGAATGTCGCGTCGCAAAGATTAACGCTTCTTTGATAATTTAACAAATGTCATGAATTGTATTCTCATCAGTTTTCTTCGATTCGCGAGTACGTTCTTTTGCGTCTCGTCGCTCTAAAAAACTTCCAAACTATTTCGCAAGATGCTTACTCAATGATCCATGACACGATTTCCACGCATCCCGATGAAGAGGGTTTAATTCCTACGCCAACATGTGATCTAGCGATTGATATTTGACAGGAAGCTCGAGTTTTCATGCGGCAATGACGAAATCACGTTTTGAAATATCCGCAATCGCTCGAGGCTTGCTTTAATCATTTCACAATCCTCCATGACATTTTTAAGAGACAACCAATATTAAATATGACATGATCTGACAGTCTTCGAGCTGATTAATAGAAATGCATTTGGCTTGCGAATATTTCATTCTGCTTTATTTAAATGTTTAAACTATACAAGGTATCTTTTTTTTTCTATTAAATCAGCTAATATAATTTTGAAATTTGTACGTATATCAATACCACATACCAAAGATATGCAAATTTTTCAATAAGAATATGAAATCATTTTTTTAATTTTCAAGTTATAATAAAACAATAAAATATTTTTTTAATTTTATAATAAAAATTGAATCGAAGTAAATGCTCTTATTAAAAATATTTTAATCTGAATAATTAAATTAAAATAATTAATATTTTAAAACATATATTAAAAGATGATGGATACAAATGAAACATTAAAAAATAAATAAAAAGATAAACGTGATATAAGAAAACCTGATGAAATGAATTGAAATTAAAAAAACGTTTTCAATATTTTATAATATAAATTATCGATCGAATTTTCAACAAGATTTAAAAAAAATTTACATTTTACTTACATGATCGGCTGAGAATGACACTATTTGCGTTTCACCGGTTTGGCTTTTCACGAACAAATCCAAAGTTTGACCTTTTGGGTTCATTGCGATTAAAAACTGGGGCTCGTTTTCCATGTCGACGATTTTGATAATATGCCAAGTATATTTCGATAGTTTTCTGGCTCTGAATGTGCAAACTACACTGAATTCCTCTGGCAATCCGTTTGGAAATATATTTCTGACAAACAATACAAAAAAGAATTTTATACGATAGATCTATCACTAATTATCGAATCGATTATTTTTAAATCGTTAAAAAATAGATATATAAATCGTACTTGGTTGGCAGGCTAATATCAGTGTCTTTTTCCAATCTGTATGCTGTTTGCATACGATTACTACCTCTCACTCGTGTCACACCAGTGTAATGTGTCTCCAAAAGATCCAATTTCAATTTACTGATAAAGTCGATTGTTTGAAGATCATCTTCACCTTGTTTGTAACCTTCGCATGGTCCATGTACGAAATCTGGAATAGATTCTTCGCCGAAAATATATTCTACAAAAATTTTGTTAAGTTATAAGCAATTTCAATTCGCATTGAATCAAGGCGGAAACAGACTGTAACAGAGACAAAGAGGTTTCACTCTATTTCCGTTTCAATCTGTCTACGCAAATTACTTAATGAATAAGCCTTTACTGATATCTCTACGTTTGTTTTGATTTCTAAAATCGATATTCCCCAAAGATTCCCCATGAATATATTATATAAAAGGAATTATTAGAAATTATTTTTAAGATAAAAATTTAAAAAATAGATAATTCATTTATAATAAATCTTTTAAAAAACAATTATTAATAACAAAATATTATATAAGATATTTTTATATATTATTAATTAAAATAAAACATATTTATTTATCTATAATTTATATTTTATAAAATATTAAGAATGCAATATTCTCAATACTAATAAAATAAGTTTCTTTTAAAAAAATAATCAAATAAAAAATGGAAAAATAGGATAAAATAAATAAGATAAAATATTACGAAGAACAAATAAATTAAAAAAATTAAAAACTTACGTGTATATGTGAATTGCACAAATAGGAATATCCATACTGAGAAGTACATTCGCAGATCCAAATTGATTCTGTAATAAAAAATATCAATTTTAATATCATATTTTATATAAATATTTTATTTTTAATTATTACTCATACCTAAAAATATGGAATTTATTTTTCTATATCAAAATTATCTTATTAACAATCTTATTTATATTATTTATTTATAAAACTCGAATTGTTTCTATAATGTTTTAAAGATAATTGAATAATAGCTAAAGTAATTGAAGTTAAATTGCTGAAGATTAAAACTATATTAATGTTACATTAAAGACATTTAAAATATTGTGATTATTATAAAGAATTCTTATGATACATGAAACTGACATTGAAATTGAATAAAAAACATTAAGAAGCATTAGTAATTATATTACTAAAATTTTTTAATAAAAAATTATCATCGATCCTGCCAGGATTCGAACCTGGAATCTTCTGATCCGTAGTCAGACGCGTTATCCGTTGCGCCACAGGACCGTGTTGATTACGAATTTTAGTTTTTCTATTATAAAAAAAATAATTATATTTCTAAAAATATTTATATATTTTATATTTTATATTATTGTTTCTTTTTAATAAAATATATTAAAAATAATTTTACTCAAGAGTAAAATAATCGATAATATTTTATTTTTTCATTTATATTAAATGCACTATATTTATAATGATTTTTTACAAATAATTACAATAATTATAATTATTGTTACATATAGTTAATAAATAAATATAAAAAAGAATAATTATTTTCTTACATAACGTAAATTTATTACGTCTCATATTAATTTTTTATCAATTTATTTATTTTGTAAAATAATCTAAACGAACTTCTCTGTATATAACTGTTATATGTTATATTATCCTGAATAATAAACATATGTTTAATAAAGCATGTTTAATCTGATCTATTATATATTTCTAGTGATTATCAATCGTGTAAATTGATATAGCATAATAATTCCTAACAATAAAATTTCGTAAAATTTACATATATATATATATATATATATATATTCTTTTTAGAATACAATATAGATAAATTTAATTGAATAAGAATAATTTTCATTATGCAGATTTATTCATTATAATATAGAGTTATATTATAAAATAATCATATATATACACATGCATAATGAATATGTATCATATTAAGATTTCTTTAAGTTTTCTACATACATATTTATTACCAAGTAACAAAAATAAATACATAATATAAATATACTTCAATAAAAATTATTTTTTTTTTACATAAATGGAATTTTAATTGATAAACATATTTAATGTTCTTGATAGATTTATAAAAATATAAAAATAACGGTAATAAATATAAAAAGTATTTCTTGTAATTTTTTTTTTATTTTTATGCAACAATAATATATTATACCGAACTGATATATGTATTTCGTCGGTAGTCAGTCAGTAACAATACTGCGTCAGAAATTCTTTTCCGTTACCGGAAAGATAAATACACTGTAGCCGGCTGCGATATGGTGTTAGTGAGGGCCACATGGAATAAAATGCAGACACGCATTGGTTGTGTTTTATACAACCTTGCTTCCTATTGGTTGAACCTCGTGGGTCTTATCGGATTACTTGACTATGACTACGTGGCGTTGCCATACTGCGATGTTGGGTCTACCAAAGTTTCAGTTTTCTGTGTTACGTTGAATTGAATTGAAGAGAAAAAGTAATAGCATGCGTTTTTACTTTCTTATCTATTAGCTAGAAATAATTATTTTTGTAATTATTATATTTAAAAAGTCAATTTATAATCATAATAGTGGGGATAGAATATGTATTTGGCAACATTGGGATTACGTCATCTGATGCAACTTTGTTTACTTATGTTATTCACATATTTTGCAGATTTAATATTGTTTCTTCATGTTGTTTGATAAAAGTTTCGTCCTTTTTTATTTTTTTTAATTTTATGTAATCTGGAAAAAAATCTCTATATTTGAAGTTTGAAGATCTATAATTTTTTCTTAAGTAAGTATTGAATTTTTTTTGAAATATTTATTTAATATTTTGAAGTATTTATAATGTAATAAGATAAAATAAAAGAAAAAAGATTTATTTAAAAAGCATTAAATATTTATATGAATAAAAATATTATAAAAAATATTTTAAATAACTTAACATCAAAAAAGATGAAACAATTTTAATTAATAATAATAATATATTTGTTATTTTATATTAATTTGAACAAATATTTGTAAGATATGTATTTTTAATGAAAAAAAATATATAAAAAAAATCACAATGTATTTTTTGATTACTTATTTCTTATTTTTTTTGCAAAACATGAACCTTATTTACATAATTATTCAACAATAAATTATAAAAAGTTTGATTTGTATTTCTGTAAATCTTTCTATAATTAATATAACAAAAATATTATATAAATTTATTTTAAAAAATAATGCTAAAGTTATATTAAATTATATTAAAAATACAATATTAAAAGTGTATCTAAAATAAATTTAATATTAATATAATATATTAATTAATTTGATTAATTCTAGATTTAATTAAACTATACATCTTTATTGCTAATTTTAAATAAATAATATTTTTGTTCGATTTATTTATTTTGTACATAATAAACACTATTTTTATTATCTTATGTTTCTTATTTTTATCTTTCAAGTTAATAAATATACTAATAAAAATTATAATCAGATTATAAATATTTTAAATTAATAAAACAGAATATTAAAATATAAAATATAAAATATTATTACAATAAACATTTATAATTCATATATTTATTGTAACTTGAAAAAATACATTTTGAAATATTATATTCACGAATATGAAAAATATGAAAAATTAATTAATTTTATATGTGAACTTATTAGACACACTATATATGATGAAAATATTACAAATAGCTATTATAGCTATTAAGATTATTATTTATAATTATATTCTATATATTTCTAAATTACTAGTAAAATAATACTATAAAATTTTTATATAAAATATATCATTGCATTATAATATTTGCATCATTAATTTATAATATTTAAAAAAATTTCAATCTAGCATTTTCTATCAACAGGAATCCATGAATTTAGAAGATGGCGCCACATATGCAACGAGACTACCACAACATTGGAGATCCAAGTAGATACTCATTGAGGACATTTAGGCATGGTGAAAAACATTGTCTACAATATCACAATTTTGATGTATCGAAAGTAAATGGAAAAGAAGATTTTTTTCGTTGTATGGGTCTTCAAATGAAAAGATATCAGTACAAATACAAAATGCCAAATAGTGATCATAAGGTTAAAAAAATTAATATTCCCACTGGTGTAACATTACGTGATTGCCGTGTTATTATCCTGGGGGCGACATGTGAACTATGCGGGAAGTGTTTTAAATGTAAAACAGATTTGAATGTACATAACTCATTAAAACATCAAACACGTGAAAAAATTCATATAGCTATAAAAGGGACACAATGTAATGAAAACGATATTCATGTGTGGGAAGAAATTCCAAAATCTTTAAATTATACAACAAGTGAGTCTAGTAAAAATTTTATAACAAAACTACATAAAAAGTTACATTTAACTTTAAAAATAGGAAAAGAAGTTATCTCTAAGATATCGGTAAAGCGGAAACATTTAAAAAGAAAGAAAATTGACATACATACACAAACTGAGCTACATTGTGAAAGTGAATTAATTACAGGTGAGAATGAGTATGAAAGTGTCGTTTCTCGTATCGATCCTTCTGTGTTCTGTAATAGTCCTTGTCTACATTGCAACTCCTGTATACACGTGGTAGAAAGTTCGAATCGATATGTGGCTGGCAACATTGTAGCAGATAAGCAAGTAGTTTATGGAAACGGTATAATGCAAGAAGAAAATCATATTTCGAATAGACTATCATGTGCAACATGCGCAAAAGAAAAGTGTAGCGTTGTTCATGAATGCATTTCTTCATCACATGTGAAATATGTTCATAATAAAACAAAAGATGAGCTACAAAATAATAATTTATCAGAAAGTACAGATGTTTCGTCAAAACCAACTAGACAAATTTGTCTGCAAAATAAAAACGAAAATAAGAAAGAAACAGACATTAACGCAAATCAGATACGAAAAGATTTTATTATAAATGAGATAGAAAAATATGCATCTGAAAACTTACAGGATATTTCTAATAGAATACAAGTAATAGTGCCATTAATTATGCCAATAATCGTGCCAAATACAAATGTTTCAAGTTCACCTATTAAATTAACAATACAATCAGTGCCAATAGAACAAGAAGAACAACAGCAATCATTGCAACCAGAACAACAAATGGAAGAAGAACAACATTATCTTCAAGAACAGTCGCAAGAAAAACAAAAACAATCGCAACAATATTCACAGCAACAACATTTAGAACAAGACCGACAAGTGAAACAAAAACAAGAACAATTGCAGCAAAAACAATCGCAACAATGTTCACCACAACAACAACAACAACAACAACAACAAAATCAGCAAATGAAGCAAGAACTACATCTGCAACAAGATCAGAAAGTGAAACAAGAACAACAGCAATATTTACAACAAGATCAGAAAATGAAACAGCAATATCTTCAGAAACAATTGCAAGGACAACAAAGTCAGCATCAACAACTACTACAAAAAGAACAAATAAAACAAGAACAACAGCAACATCTGCAACAAAACCATCAAATGAAACAAGAACAACAACATCTATGCCAATAATCGTGCCAAATACAAATGTTTCAAGTTCACCTATTAAATTAACAATACAATCAGTGCCAATAGAACAAGAAGAACAACAGCAATCATTGCAACCAGAACAACAAATGGAAGAAGAACAACATTATCTTCAAGAACAGTCGCAAGAAAAACAAAAACAATCGCAACAATATTCACAGCAACAACATTTAGAACAAGACCGACAAGTGAAACAAAAACAAGAACAATTGCAGCAAAAACAATCGCAACAATGTTCACCACAACAACAACAACAACAACAACAACAAGATCAGCAAATGAAGCAAGAACTACATCTGCAACAAGATCAGAAAGTGAAACAAGAACAACAGCAACATCTGCAACAAAACCATCAAATGAAACAACAATATCTCCAGGAACAATTGCAAGAACAACAAAGTCAGCATCAACAATTACTACAAGAAGAGGAAATGAAGCAAGATCAGCAGCAATATCTACAAGAAAACCATCAAATGAAACAAGAACAACAGCAACATCTCCAGGAACAATTGCAAGAACAACAAAGTCAGCATAAACAATTACTACAAGAAGAGGAAATGAAGCAAGATCAGCAGCAGTATCTACAAGAAAACCATCAAATGAAACAAGAACAACAGCAACATCTCCAGGAACAATTGCAAAAACAACAAAACCAACATAAACAGCTACTAGAAGAAGAGCAAATGAAGCAAGATCAACAAGATCTACAGCAACAACAACACCAACTTAAAAAAATTTCTGTTCTTACTATCAAAGATGATGTTAATAATGAAATAGAAGAAGTATTACGAATTGTTAGAGGACGTATCACTAATGCAGAGATCAATCATGAATCACCAACTCGATTCGAACAAGAGATGTTAATACAAGACGCCATTAGAGATATGAAGAGAATGGAAGCGCAAGGCTGGCACTTGTTGGAAAAGAAAAACGGCTCCACGATGAAAAGGAAACGGAATATAAAATCTAATATCAAATGTAATACAAGTAATACAAATGATGAATGTGCCAAAAGAAAGAAAAATATCGTAACTGAATCAAATACAGAATCAAAATATAGAAATTTAAACAAAGAAAAATATATTTCAAATGCAAAGGAACATACGAAAATACAAACTAATAATAATATAGTATCATTGTGTGCATCGGATAATACAAAAGAAAATTTAATGACATGTAATGAAAATATCAATACAACATCTGAAATATTGCGACAATATAATATTAATTATTGCAATGATATATTCGAGATAAAGAACAATACGGAGAATAATCGAGAATCTATTAGCCGATTTCTTGCCCCCTGTTCCGATGGAATGGAAAATAACGTACCGGTCGTAATAGATCTAGTCAACGGTACCGATGAATAACAATGGAAACGGAAATGATGCGTCCGGTGAATGATGATAGCTTTATAAAAATGATATTGAACTGAGAAATAATAATGGATTCGTTTATGAAATGAAAATGTTAAAAATGTTATTTTATGAATAATTTTCTAATTTTTAATGTTGATTTTGAAATTAAATTTTTCCAATACTTTTTTTCTGATATGTCTGATTGAATGGAAGTCAGTTAAATAATTAAATACAAAAGGTATTAGAGAATAATTTTTATCACGTGATAATATTGAGAAGTTCTGAAAAATTTCTGATGATTAAATTGCTAAATGGAAGTTTGTATAATAGTATAAAAATATAAATATTGTATATTTTTTGTACAAATCATTTCCAAAACATAAATTACAAAGGACAATATATCGTCAATATTATTTCCATCATGAAATACTTGTCACATATTTCATATGTGAGATCTCGTTATAATAGGATCTCAATTTTTAAAAAATCAAATACTTTAAGAATGATTTAAACAACTGCTTTTGAAATATTATATTTTAATTGACTTTTCTACAATTTTTCATGAATCAGTCATAATATAAATTATTATCAGTATAAATAATGATAATTTCTTTTAATAGTTAAATTTATTATATTTTTTATTTTTTATTTCCGTTTAGATCAGATGTATATTTATATGTATATGTGTTGATGTTGAGTGATACTTCTTAATAAGTACGTAATTATACAGTTTAGCTGAATTTTGATTATTTTATTATATAGCTTCATTTTAACACTTAAAAAGTCAGGCGAAGAAATAATATCAATAAATAATATATTTTTTATTATTAAAAAAAGGGGGATATACATAAAAATGCATCCATAATAATGAGTATATCGTCATTTATCTTTTGTTAATATAAACACATTGTAACGATAGGCAATTAACATAAGTGAATTGAATTAAAAAAATACTTTCTTATGAATAGATAACAGGTAACAATATTTTAATTATATCGAAACATTTCGCAGAAATCATCACATCATTTGTTAATATCTATTCATAAAAAGTTTGAACATTTCACGAATCACGAATTAAAATATATATTGATAATATCGAATTAGCTGTTATTGCAATATGTTTGTATTAATAAAAAATAAATAATGGTCACATGCTTGTTAGGAATGCATATATATAAATGAAATTCTATAATAGTAAAAATTTTGTCGCTTTTTTTTTTTAAAATAATTTACATTACTTTTTCAATCTCCCCCGATCGATTTCTTGTTTTAATGATAAAATAAAAGTATAGTAAAATCAAAACTGAGAAAACTGTATAATTATTATTTAATTGTTGTGTTCTATGAATTACAACAATAATTACATTAGTAATTATTATTGCCAAATATTATAATACTGTAAAATGATATTACTTTTATATATTTATTATATTCTCTTGGAAAAAGGGAATAAGATGTGCTTTTTTTTCTGTACAAATAATATCATAAATAAGTATAATGACCACGCTAAATCATATTTTATATTACGTTACTGTTTAATGTGCGATATACATATATTAGTAATTTTGTATTTTTTGTAATAAATGTTCTTAAAAAAAAAATGTTATTACACAAATTATTTAATACATAATAATAAATACTTTTTAGAAATTTATGAAAAATATTTTTAGAAAAATATTCTCTCCCGTGTCTCGGCATTCCAATTACACGTGGAATTAACATTGCGTGATTTAAAGTGCCGAAGATGATTTATTCCAATAAATTTAAAAAAAAAAGTTTCTATAATCTAACATTAGAGATTAGATTACAGACAGTAATCTAAATAACAGTAATTACTAAATAAATATTAAAAAATAAAAACGATCTTTGAATCATGCACGATTCTTATTTTATACTTTATCGAAAAAATTTGAACTTGCGATTTATTTATGCTTAACTCTTATTTTCAAGAGTTATTTTAAAAATTATAGTTCTCACGACATTTTAATACTATAGGAATTTTCTTTATCTTTGCACGAGATCGATGCATTCGTAAGAGAACAAAATGATTGATGATGACAGTTGAAATCGGCAATGCAAAGAACGTTAATTCAGGCCAATAGAAAAATTTCATTATCATAATGATAACTAAAAAAAAAAAGTTATTATATAAAATAACACTTGAAGTTTTCTGACTTCAACTGACTAAACCAAGTTATTAATCTTCTTATTTTTCGAAATTCTTTCACGTACATCATATACATTGAAACAATTACAATGAAAGATATACCAGTTTTAACTATGGCATAGAAAACACGTAAAATATATTATCGATTAACATTATTGAAATTAATGTGCATATTGTGCAACTTGTTTTTCGAAATAAACGTGTGGTTAAAAAATTAGCAAGTGAAATCTTATTTATTTATCGACATTGTCGTGTACTAAAAGAAAGAATATATATCATAGTATATCTTGTTACAGAACAATGGAAATAATGATTTAAGATTTAGAAGCTAGAAATATTTCACTGTAACACAATAAGAGAAATGTAAATCAAACAACGACAATGCAATCAAACGACTAACAAGAATTGAATCGCAATGATAGTACAGATTGAAGAATTGAAGAATTCATATTTGTTGCAAAATCGTTGATACTCTTCTTCAAATGTTTTTGTTGTTGTAAATATACTTACAAAATAACAAATATATTTAAAGATTGTTATAATTGAAAATGATTAAACATAAAAATATTGAAAATTTAACATCCTCACTCTAAAATCAAACTATTCATGATAAAAAGAGATTTTTTTTTGATTTATTTGATTTATTGATTTTATAATTACGAAAATAAATGATGATAGTTTCTTCTTCTTATCAATTTTAATGATTCTGAAATATATTGCAAAAGACATTATTTTGCAATTTTTTGCAAAATAAAGAATTTCATTTTTAGTTATTTTTTCTATTATACAATCAGTGTAATCAATTTTCAAATTATTCGCAAAAAATTTTTGTATACCATTGAATCCTACTTATAGGTATGCATCTGTGATAGAGTACGCGTCACTATGCAACCGTCGTTTAAAGATGGTTGGCAACCATATGTATGTATAACGGGTGAGTTTATCAAAAATCTATTTCTTTATCAATTTAAACGAGATTTTCCTTAAGATTTTCTTTGTAATGTATATATACAATGGAAAAACTAACTTCAATTATTGTAATTTCGATCACTAAATATTATTTTATATTTTATTTTCACATTCGAAAAATCCAAAAGATTCATGCACCCGTTATATATAAATAGAAGTAGTATATTGTTGCACGTGCTTCTACGAATGCATACATCATGAATGCATATAGAGTTAAGTCAAGATAATAGTATCGAAAGTTTTTTTTGTAAATGGTTCGAAAACTAAGATAAATCATTAATTGATGAAAGAAAAAAATTGTTCAAAACGATGTTTTTTACAATATATTTCAAGATCATTAAAATCGATGAGGGGAAAAATCAGATTTATCTTGGACATGTATAATATCTATAAATTATTTACTGATAATAATAATAAAAATTACATATTTGTGATTGTCATTATAATTTAAAAATGAAAGGATCAAAGAAAAATTTCCACCAAGAAACTAAGAAAAGAAAAGAAAGAATAAAAGAACGTTATAAAATAGAGAATATTTTTAGATCGTGTCAGCAAAATGATTGAATTTCTCACGATCGTTAAACCTCTCGATACAAATAAGTGGTTCGTCAAAGTTTTAGCATGTACGAGAAAGCCCACGTGTTACCGGCTTTTTCTGAAGAAGCTTCTTCCGGTCGTGTTAAAGCGCGACGTAGCCGAAAATCTTTGTGGTTGGAGAACGTGTGTGTCGACTTTCGATAATTGCTGCCCGATTAGCGGAAGTCAATGGATTGGCACATATAAATATGCGTATATATTCGTTTAATTTATATCACACATAATATTTAAAACACAATTAAAATTGTAAGACGAGACAACGCATTGCACGACTGCCTGGCATAAACTGATAAGCCCTGGAGAACCGCATGGCTTGCCTCTCTCCATCTCCCTTCAAGGAGATTCGATCTTGCTTTCCATCTTCCGTCATCGAGGAGAAGAGACAATTACTGTTGATCGTGAATTAGCATATGTATGCAGAGAAAGGAGTTGTGCGTTTCATTGGAATTTCGATCTTGTTCTTTTCGTTTGTTTGTAATAGAAACTTCTGCGCTATTATGTTATTAAAATCCTAATAATAGTAAAATTTATAAAATTTTGAAAAATAATTTTACCGAAAAAGTGTCATTTTTTTGAGATAAAAAATATAATTGTATTGAAAAATAAAATATAGTTGAATTGGAAAAAATGCCTGATTTCAGAGGATAAATATGATGATTCTAAATTTATTTAGAACACATAATGATACTTGTTATTAGCGTTATCATTTTAATTTTATTATATATGTTACGTTTTGCTTTATATATAACATTAGTGGAGAAAGTAATTCTATGCCAAACCGCACAAACTTGAACACTTTCTTTGTTTTGCAACAGATTCGTTGTAATACATCCAAACGGTCTCTCATTATCGTTGTGAAAAACTGAATAATAATTGAACATATACGTGCTTATAATCAGGAAGTTTGGATCGAAGCGATATTAAGTTACAACTTTATGCGTAATCTTCTAATGAAAGTTATATTTATAAACATGTCTTAAAATTTTTTATAAATCACTCTTAATTTATTTATTTTATTAAATATAAAAAATAATTATCTCATATAGAAAATTTTGTATGAATTCATATAATTGAATATGAATGGAATTATTACCAAATAAATTATTTATTATACCAAATTATTAGGAAATAAATTTTTAAAAAATTATCCTTTTTATTCCAAATATAAGAGTTTTAAGATTTATAATTGTAATTTAAAAAATAGACTACAAAAAAATGTAATGTAAAAAATGTAATTTTTTAAATTATTCTATTTATTTTGTACTTTCTCATTTTTTTCACAATTTTCTATAAACACATAAAGAAAATAAAAATACGTACCTTAATATTGAATACTTTCTTCTTTAAAGTTTTAATTTTTAAAATTAAAATTTAAAAATTAACTTTTAAAGATTTTTGTAATATAAGAAAATTTGTTTTAATCGATTTTATCTTTATGTGACATGTTACACGCATTCGATATAATAAGATTTTATTACATATTACAAAATATTTAAGCAAAAAGAGATAATAATACGTATATTATTATTATATAATACAATAATAAATAATATTATTATAATATTATGTAATATATGTAATACGTATACATACGACTATGAATAATCATAATGATTAAATTAAAACAAATATATCATAGACTATTAATAAAATATCAGACAGACCTAAAACATCATATATCTGTTAATTTTCTTTGATAAAGTATTTTGATAAAGATTTAAATAGGTGCTCGTTAGGAAAAATTTATAATGATAAACGACTAAAAATTAAAGATCAGGCGATGAAAGAAATTCTTTCAAAGAATACATTGCTTATAGCAATGCTATAATATAACGTAGTTATATCAAAAATAAAAATTTAATCATTTTTTTCTTTTTTCACGTGCATTTTTATGTTTCTTAATTTACTAAATTGACTAAGGCATTCCTCAATTGTTAAACATAAATTTTCCTCATTCTTCTCCATATTAATTGTTAATTCGAGAAAAGAGAATAAACTTTCTAACTCATGGCATGGCCATGATTCTGTCACCTGAACAATTTTTCGAAGCAATTGGTCCATTTGAAAATCAGTCAATTTCTCATTACTCGATGTTGATAAATTGAGTGGAGAATTTCTTATACGTTTCGATGATGGGCCTTCACCTGATGCACTATTCTTTCTCTTAAGATTAATTTCTGAGTAAAGAATCAGATTTTTGTTTCTTTAGTTAAGAATAATCTTGTTTCTTAATTAAGAAAATTGAAAATATTAGATCGTGAAATTCATATCATTATTATATTAGATAATATTAAGAAAAGTTTCGTGGCAGGAAAGAAAGATGCAAGAAATTATATTATATTTAAAAAGCAAAAATGATAGAACTTTTCGATCAATCTATATAATACGAAACAATGTTAAAATATAGATATTAAATAATAATAATTTTATACTTGTCTTGGAATTGATCATCACGTGAGCTGATCGTACACTGCAAGGTTTGTTTCGAGCTCTGAGTTTACTTCTTCGGAAAGATACCATCTCTTCTATCATTATGGCAATGTTATTAATATTTTATAAGATCATTTTTTTTAAATGATGATATTGAAAATTTCATTTTACTCACGTGCTAGAGGATTTTCCATAACATCGGTCCGACCAGTTAATTTCCGCTTTCTTCCTACTTCTTTCGTTTTTTTTGAATTCATAATTTGTTCAAAATCCACTAGATAAATAATAAAATTTATAATTAAATATTTTTCGTTATATATTTATAAAAAATAATAGTAATAAAATAATAGTACTATTTAATCTTTTAATATTTAAAATTATTGATCTGTAACGTATATTTAAATATACTATATATATATCATAAAATGGTACTGAATGGTATAATAAAAATAATTAGCTATTTTAATAAAAGTCAATATTAATTTTTCATAAAAGCATATATTTTAGTAATTAAAAATAAAAAATATTATACCTTGTGAAGAGCTATTAGATTCGAAATCACACGTCGAATGAACAAACAATTGCTTGAAAAATAGTTCACGATGTTGTTCACGAGGAGATATAACTTCAAATATTTCACCTTGATATTCATCGAATAAGGATACAATCTAAATTTAGATAACATGAAAATGAAAAAAAAAAAAAAAACATCTAATTTAAATATGTTTATAATAAAAAAAAAATTGTTAAATTAATATCGATATCATTTGAAGAAATGTAAATATATTTAAATTTATAATAAATTTAATATATAAATTTTTCTTACATCTGCTGGTAAATCTTTTCGTGAACAATTAGCCGTAACCATGATTAACATATTGACCGATCGATCTAAATTCTGCATCAAAGATGTAAAAACAATACGTGCCGCTTCATCTACTAAGTCCCACCAGGTTAAAATATCAGGAACATAAATCAACGATGGTAAATTGCGTCGAGCCATCTTTATTTTCTATTATTTAATCATATCAAAATATGATTAGATCATTAATCAGATCAAAATATGATTCAATAATTAAATCATAAATATAAATATTCAAATATTATAAAAAAGCAAATAATAATCAGTGTGAGACGTTGAAACAACAAAAATTTAAATAAAAATTTTTTAGTAAAGAACTTTCTTTTTTAGTAAAGAATATAAAATATTATATAAAATTCTATTTTAACATTATCTTAATCTTTCTATGATAATATGATATAATTTTGTGTGATAATTACTTGAATCAAAGCTTCTTCTGCAGCTTTTCCTGTTTCTTCAAACAAAGTCGTAATATCTAACAAATGACAAGGTAAATGCTCTAAAGAGTGAAGTAATGCTGGTCCCAGATGACGAGTGTGAGAGTCATCGTCACCGCACAATAAAATCCTAGGACAGCTGTTTGACCTCGATGCAGCTTTACCAGTGCTACAAAAAAAGAACTTTTAAAACTTTTTATAAACCAATGTGATTTATTATTAACTCTAGCTTCATAGTACCTAAAAAAAACTTGGCTTAACAGTAATTTCGTCAAAGCAAATAAAATTATAAAAATCATAATTATATATCAATTTTTTACTTACATTACATTGTAGTAAGAAAATTTAAATTCATAATTTTATTAAATTTATATATAAAAAATTTAATTAAATTTTCATTATGATAAACTTGCATCTTTCCGATTTCTAAATAGAAGTTATAAATTTCTCTTGTTTTTTATTTTTTAATCTTTAATTAAATTAAAGTTTCTTTAATGAATATTTTATAAAAACTAATGATTGTAGAAAATATGTAAAAATTCCTGCTTTATTACTTATTAAATTGGACAATAATTCAATACTCACATGACGTTGCAAGTCAACATTCCTGTTGGACAAAGAATTTCAAGCTGTGACAAAATGTACGACAAATTGTCTTGGAGTAATGGTTGAATTTTATCCGATAAAGATTTAATTGGGGCAATTGAAACACGATGAGATGCTGGTAAAATATTTTGTTGTGCTTTCAGAAAATCTTGTTTCTCAACCTATTAAAATATATATTCAATTAGATTCAATTCATAAATCATTTCATAAATATTATTTAAAAATAATCTATTCAGTTGAAATAAATTAAGGAACAAATAATTATAATTTAGATTAATTTTATATTATAGATAATTCTATGAAGATACAATTTTTTTAAAAATAGGGAGAATTATATCCAGATAAAAATATCTTAGATGTTATCAAAATCATATATTTCTATAAAATATTTTATAACTTCTACAATTTTTCAAATGTTTTTACAATGACCATATTCTTCGATTAAATGTTACAAGTTTGTAACAATCATTTTATGGTTACTGACAAATTAAATTAGTTATTTTATGACACATAGCATAATATGTTAATAAGAATGTTTTAATCAATAAAGGATTGATTTAATCTTTTTTTCTGTAATAAATATGTATCTTTTGTTAACGATTATACTTCTTCATAAAAGATTTTTATGAATGTTATAATTATGATTAAAATAGAATTACTATTATCGAAATATATCATGTATGGATGATTAAAATTAAAATAATATAATAAAAATGATTACATTTTAATAAAAATTAAAATAAAAATCAACGTTAAATTTACCGAAGCTTTTTACAGAAACATTTTTATATTTTTAATAATTGCAAAAATAAAAAATCTCGAAATTTTAGCTTCTAATATTAGACTTTACTGTAAAAATATCGATCAATTAATACCTTTGAGGTTTGTATTAATAAATTAACATTGTATAAATAATTTTGCAAAAATTATTTCTATTTAAATTATTTAATAAAATCTTGTTCACATTACTTTAAGATGCCGTTCATTAATTTGATATTTCGCTTTGGATGTATATATTTCCGGATAATTTCTTCGAACACAGCACATTACCGCCTCGGCGCAAAGAGCTTGTAAATCACTTCCGCAAAATCCAACAGTTTTCGATGCAAGATACGCCAAAAATTTCTGTGGTGGTTTCTGTTTCCAACTTTTTATGTGAACCTATTATCGTATTATCATTTTTTATTTTTAAAATATTCTATTTTCAAAAACGAAAGTTTAAAAAAAAAAAGACTTTTTACAGTTAATACCGAGAGTATTTCTTTTCTCGCGGCATAACACGGCAACGGAAAATACAATTCTCTATCGAAACGGCCAGGTCTTCTTAAAGCTGGATCTATAGCGTCGATTCTATTCGTTGCTCCAATTACTATGATCTCTGAATTGTTCTCTAAGCCGTCCATCAAGGCCAAGAGAGTGGAGACAATGCTGGCATGTACAAAGTCTTGGCGACTGGATCTTACTGGTGCTAGACCATCAACTTCGTCGAAAAAGATTATACAAGGTTTCGATTGCTGAGCCTGTAATATTAACATAATAATGAATTTTATCTTTTTGAAATGCAAATTTTTATGCATTATGTATTCATTTCTTAAAATGTGATTAATAAAATTAAAAGTATTTTGGATAAAAAAAAATTATTCTGGATAAAATTGTTATAAATATTAATTTCTTATTTAATATAATTTACAAACGTTTAAAATTTAAAATAAAATAAGAAATGCTTATAATGCTTATAATGAATAATATATATCGAACAGTGAAACAAGTAAATCGATAATAATTCTTCAAACGAAGATAAATATATTTATATATTTGTAATATAATTTTCATGGAAAATTTTTTAAAAATATTTTATCATTATAATTTTATAATCTATGCATTTTTAAATCTTTTATTTTAAATTAAATTTAATTTAATAAAACGAGAATATTCATTTGATGAATTTTTCTCTCATTATTATTTCATATAACATGTAAATAAAAATCTTCCCTATTCGATTTAATTATTATAGATAATTATAAATCAGTGAACTACCTTTATTAATAATTTTTAATTAATATCTTAAAAAGAAAGAAAATAAAATAGTTGTGCTATTAACCAGGAAAAAAATCTTCTGAAGCTTTTTCTCGCTTTCGCCAACCCATTTGCTAAGACAATCGGAACCCTTGCGAGATATAAAAGAAACTTTCCGTTCAGCGTTACTGCATTCCACCGCTAAAGCACTAGCAACCAGAGTCTTTCCTGTGCCTACGAAACAGAGAATGTCAATCGAGAATCTTGTTTCGAAAAATGTTTCGTTTTATTACGAACCGTAGAACGCTTTATTTTACCAGGAGGCCCATAAAAGAGCAAACCCCTCGGTGGTTTCAAGTTGAACTTCGCATAAATGTCACCGTATATAAGCGGAAATAGAACCGTTTCTTTCACTATGCGGATATGCTTCTCCAGTCCTCCGATGCAAGAGAAATCCTTTGTGCAGGACATTTTTCGTGATGAAAATTACACCCAAACTTTTATTTCGCATACCCGACAAACGTATTCTCATTTAGGTATCACGATTTCGTATTTTTATAACTGATCCTTGAATTTTCATCCAGTAAAATCCAGTTCGACAACTTAAATCATTAACCATATATATGCATCGTGTTTTTCTAGATATTTTACTGGAAATTTTATGCTGCGTTTGATGATTGATTCAAGTCAATTCACGATGTAATTTTATTGTATTTTAAATGTTTCATTGATGCGATTATAGCGAAACATGCGAATCGTGTTCCTCTTCGGAGCAATGTTCGCGTAAATAATATATATAATAAATTATAAAGTTCTCTTTAATAAAATAGATATTACTTTTTATGAAATTTAGCATTGTTTAAGAAAAAAGTTAATATAAAATATAAAAAAATGTTTATTTTAAAGTGTATTATTTTTTTTTATTTTATTATAAAGATATATATTTAATTTAATTAAATAATAAAAATATATAATTTACAATATATCGTATTTAATTATTATGTGATATTATTTAATTACAAAATATATGAAAGCAATATAAATATTTAAAATAATAATTATAAAATTACATTATTTTCATATTGTTATATAGCATGAATTAAAATGTTTAAAAAAAAACAATTAAATTTGTTAAAGAATTACATGATTTTATTAAAATTACTTATAAATTTTCATTAAAAAATAATATGAATTTTTATTATAAAATAGGATGTTAAAAAGTAAGACAAATAATTATATTATAAATTTCAATTTATTATGCTACAATGAATGACAATAAAACGTATTACCTGTATGGTAAAATAAATAAGGCAGTGTATGCTCTCTTGCTTTGTTTCCTATATCTTCTACACATCTGCTCCATATACTGTCTGCCAAAGATCATATTATACGAACATATTCAACAAAAATTTTATTGAATTCGTAAGTCAATATGTTCTTTTGCAAAAAACAGTATTACAATCTTTATTATTTGAATACTTTAGCAAAGTAATTATAATAGTTCAAACGGCAGTGGTTACGAGAACCTCTCGATTAATACAATGTACATATAATTACATAGTTTTTTTATCTTTTGCAATATTATTGGTAATACAGAGATGATAGTACATCAGAAAATAGCACCAGAAATTATTCTTGGAATAATTACATGTTTTGGATTTCTTTACCATAAAATGGAATGTAAAATACATATATCAATGGAAACAGGAAAGTCACAATAATTCAATTAATATTTTTTCTTTTATTAATCAGTATTAATTGTATATGTGATTTTTCTGTATCATTTACTATTTATTGAAGTTTACATTTGAATTTTTATCATTGAAATATTATACAACTTCTTTGGCAAATATCAGCGATATTTATTTGATAGATATATTTGAATTAAATAGAAACTTATTTGTGGATGCTACATATTATTGAATTATATAAAATTGATAAAAAATATCTGCATATAGATTATACCAGTAACAGAAATTTTTAACAAATTTTTATATCGCTGAAATTTTTATTAATATTTTAAAAACTAGAAGCAATATTACAGCCTGTTTTTAGCATTAAATAAATTTCTTGCATTTTTAAGATAAATATTATAAATGATATTATGTAATGGTAACAACATTTTTTGTTAACTTAATTTTTTTTATCTATTTTAATATAAATACCAATATTTATTTAGTTTTTATAATGTGGCACTAATTTGTATAATGTTGATTTTTCTTATCATAATGGTGATGTGAGCAAGAGAAAGTTTATTATTCTAATTACCATTTTTACTAAATTTTGTATGAAATATCTTGGTATAAAATTAAATATAATAATTTTAAATATAATAAAAATATTTTTTAATCATTAAAATTTAAATTAATTTTAAATTATGCAGAAACTTAAACTAAAATTTATTAATTTGTATCTAAATTCTCATAACATCATATTCATTTCATTTAGTTATCATCTTGTCAAAAAATATTATCAACAAATACTTCTAAATTTCTTTATGTAAAAGATTTTCAAGTATTTTTTTGCTCAATATATCTTAATTTTATATAAAACAATATATATGTATAGAACATTTTTATTATAATAAAACAAAAATATATCTTCATATATAATACTAAATTAAATTATGAAAATTATCCGAATTTTTTTGAAAATTATCATTAATAAAAATAAAATGAATTTCTTTAGCATGATATATAAATATAATATAAATTATATTTATTCTCTACAAATTAATTATTTTAATCTTAATATACTATTCTAAAACATCAAGCATATATTAAAAAATTAAGCAATACGATACAATACAAATAATATTATATACATAAAATTATTTTATCTCAAAATTTGATATTTACATTATAAAAGATTATTAATAGAATATTGAAAATTACTTTCCTAATTTAATTTGAATATAAAAAATAATACACAAAAAAAATAAATACTATGCAATGAGCATTTCTATAGTTCAGTCTTTTGATTTTTATATTCTAACAAATTTTAAGTATTTCAATTATAATTTCGTCAAACTTAATTGTAATTTTCATCATAAATGAAAAATAATTTTTTTATATTTATTATTTATAATTTATATATTCCAAGATTTTGACTAATATAAAAATAACAAAATGCAAATTACCAATCTAATAATAACATAATTCTATTAATAACATTTTTTTTAAAGATTTTATATTATTTATTATATTATATGCTTGATTATAAGAATTATCATTAAATTCTTATAGTCCATCTTAACTTATAATATTTATTTAATATTATTTAATATATATTTCTAAATAATTGAAAGCAAATAAAGAAATTCATTTTTTTTCTAACATATTATTCTTTTATATTTTAATAAAAAAAATATTATTTATATGACCAATATAAATAATCAATAGGCAGAATCTTATTACTTGAATTCTAGAATACATCAAAATTTCCTTGCCATTTATAGCATTTGGTAACTATTCTTTCACAGTTATATTATAATCACAACCACTGTATGAATCTAGAATGTAAATTTTATGTTAAATATTTTTCTATTTATACAAATACAGTATTCTTTGTATATACTTATGATTTTACCGAGGTATTTAACATTTATTCAACAATTTTCAATTATATTCATTTTTATATTCATAATACAAAGGAGAGAAATAAAATTTATTTCTTCATTATTTCACCTATGGTTTAACTTTGGTCAAAATAAACTGACAAATATGTACTACATTTCAATTATAAATCATTGATAATATAAAATTAATTTATTTGTTTGAACATAATTAATAGGTTACTTGTAATTCAATTATATCATACTAATTAAAGCAATAGTTTTAAATTTGAATAATGCTATATATAACATTAATAGCTATCAATGTATATAAAAATTATATTCATATTAGATATCATTAATTTTTACATATATATATTGATAAAAAGTTATTATATCAAATATTATTTTAAATAATTTACTACCAATCATTTATGCAAATATATTTCAATTAAAAATTACAAATTGAAATCTAGTACAAATTACTCCTAAAAATAAATTATGTACAAAGCCAAAAATAGTTATTTATGCAATATATAACATTGCTCATAAAAGGAATGTATTTACATATTTTTCACTTTATGAAATATTTTCATCGTTTTAATGATTAATTGAAACTAATACACGAAGTCGTTGATATTATACGAATTTAAAACTTATATATTTTTATGTTATGTATGAGTATTATTTCATTAAATAATTCCTTTTTTAAAAATAGGGCACATGTGATTTCATATGCATGGTGGAACCATATGTATCAAGATATATCTATCTTTAAAGTACTTTATAAAAATTACCTAAAGAACTGTAAAAATCCAAAGTAATAACTGGCGCATATAATGAATCTATAATGTATTTTATCAAGGTTTATCATGATCTTAATATATTCATATACAATAAAATAACTTGATATAATATACTGCCAAGTACCACATGTAAAAAACTATAGTTAAGTACATATTGTATTAAATTACCATCATCTTTGTATAACCATTATT